CGGTCACCACACAAAATAACTGCGTGCCTCAGGAGACTCACAAGGAACCAGGCCTGAGAGACAAGATGAAGTAACAAGCTGGGGGAGGCTCGGGGCACACACGCTAAACCAGGATGAAAGGGGACCCGGGATGGGGCCCGCTTGCCTCCCTTGGTGCTGGCCAGCGCTGTCTGTGGAGCCAGCAGACAGACTCTGCCCTCCACCCAGCCTGCTTCCTGCCTTTGACTCTTTCCTGTGACAGGGAAACACGGTGTGACCCAGTATCAGGCAGTGGCACCTGGCTACCTATGCCACTCTGACTGGGCCTAAAAATAAAATTTTAATGAAGCCATGATGTATGTATTGTTCTGCACCTTAATTTACAAATATATAAAATTATATGAATACATAAAGCAAATATAAATAAATATATAAATATATATTTTTATATGTAAATTTATATCATATATATTGGTATATTCATAATTATATATAAATATATGCATACACACACACACACACATATATATAAATTATAGTATCTCCTTGGGACCAGCAGTTGGCATAATGGCTATGTTGCTGGACTCCCATGTAGTAGACCGTAGTTTGAGTCTGGACCCGGTGGCTTAAACTCAAAACGGGTGCATGTGTGTATGCGCCCAAGATCCCGAGAGGAGAATGAAGCAGAAGGGACTGCGGCGTGGCCATCTCCCCAGGGAGTGATTTCTTGTTTTCTGTCTCTGTCTGTCTGGCATGCACACACGGCCTATAATAAAAAACCTCTCAAAAAAAAAATGACAGTATATCCTGCAGATTTTCCTTGTCTCTACACACTTAACTGCAGCCTCTCTCGTGGCTGCACAGGGTTCCGTGGTGGATGGGTATGAGCGAGTACTCATTTAGTTGCAAGTGACAGAATGTCGGCTTGAATCAGTTTAAGCAAGAAGGGGGTCTGAGCACGACAGTGAATTTTCACTGTTCTCTACATCTACTGTACCCTTTCCCACTTCAGCCTGTCCAAATTCTACCTAAGCATCACCTAGCTCGTATTCCTGCCAAAAATATCTAACCTGGATCCAAGCAGGAGGAAATCAGCAGGCAGATCCAGACTTGGGGACACTTTACAAAACAATTGGCTTAGCTCATCAAACTGACGAGGTCATAAAAGACCCTCCAACCCCCCCGAAGCCGGGTACTAGTCTAGATGAAAGGCCATCCAAGAGGCATGAAAACGAATACAAGTCATGATGCTTGATTGGACTATGAAGGACATTGTCGGGACCATGGAAGGAATTAATAAAGATGGATTAGGCAGTACTGCTATTACCGATGTTGGATTTCTTGACAATGACAGAATCACGGGCTTGTAGGATTGTCTTTCTATTGGGCTACATGCTGAAATACTTGGAAGTGATGCGTTACCATGTCCGCAACTTCTTTCGACTGAGTCAGCCAAAACGTATTTTATACCCAAATAAACTCACACTGTAATCCCATTTCCTCACAAACTTCTTGAAGTCCCCTGTGTGTGTGCATATGCGTGTGTATGTGTGTGCACACAGGTAGAGAGCGAGCCAGCAAACTGACAGACTGGTCACAACTGGTGAACATTGTGGATGCTGGGTGTTCATTAGACCCTCCCATCATCTCTGTAAATCTAAGCTTCTTTAACATAAAGATGTGAAGGGAAAATACCCTACCCGTCTTTGAATTTGTGCTCCAAGGCAGTCCCCTCCTCCATGGAGCCGGCACTTCGGCCCCGATGAAATGACTAGTTCCCTGAAAGAATAGTTTCCAACCTCCCAGAGCTCCATGGCTAAGCCTGCCCTGTATGGCCTGGCCCAGGCTGTGCCACAGATGAGTAAGCTGGAGATGTGTCTGTCCCCTCCCCGGGCTGTGAGCACCTGGAGGGCAGTGACCGCAGAGACCTCAGGGGATGGAGAGCGTGGAAGGCAAACCTTGCCGTGTCCCGCTTTGGCACGAGACCAACCTTCCTAGCTCCGACCTGTGCTCCAAGCCCCCGTTTAAAGGCTGTCTCTGCTACGGTTGGGCCCCACCCTCTCACAGAAAGAGGGAATGTTGAGCCCCGGTCGTGAAATTCTCAAAAGACCACCAAGGAGCCAATTCCGATGCAAGCACACAAGGGTCGCTTTTATTCGGGTTCGAGCCAGGACTCCCAATTGTCACCGACACAGCGGGTCAGAGTTGAGAGCCCCTGGTGTTGGTTGGGCTGGGTTTTTATTTGGCTGTTGGGGGGAAGTTTGAGTGGTGCTGAGGAATGTACTCAGGTGGGGGTACATTGGCTGGAGATTTCAAGGAGCATGGCTGTCTTTTACTGATTGGCAAGAAAGTTCTGGTATTTCCTTTGTTTTTCTCTCATTGGCCAGCCCCGGTGGGGTGATGGTCTTATGACCTTCTCCTACGTGATGGGCTCGCCTCTTTGAAATGGCGCCGATTCTCAGCAAGGTGGGTTTCACAAAATAGAGTCGCCCCGTAAAATATGGAGTCACTCTGGTCCTGCAGGACCAGTTTTAGAGTGGAGGAAACTGCAGGGAAGCAGACCGCTCTGAGTGGGGGTATCAGTTAGAGTTCTCCAGAGAAACAGAAAATATACAGAGAAAAAGAGTGAGTGAGAGAGAGAGAGAGAGAGAGAGAGAGAGAGAGAGAGAAGAGAAAGAAGAAGAGAGATAATTTAACTGACTCACAAGACTATGGAGGCTTGATAGGGTCTGCCAGTGGGCTGGGGACCCAGGAAGCATAACAGTTCAAGCTCAAAGGCAGCCTGCTAGCATAATTCCTAACCTTCTGCAGAGCTCAGTCTTTTTCTATTAACACCTTTAACTGATGGGTTGAAGTCCATTGGCTTTATGGAAGGCAATCTTTTTTTCTTTTTTTGAATAATTATTTAATTTTATTTACTATTATTGTTACTTTTTAAAAAAGAATTATTAATTTCATTTCACTTCACTTATTCATTCATTTATCTTTTAATTTGACCAGAGAGAGAGAGAAAGTAGGAAAGGAAGCCACCAGGTCCGGGACTTGAACCATGATTGGCCATGTGGGATTGTCCAGCATCTTAACCACCATGTAACCTGCTGGTCCTTATTGTTACTTTTTAAGAATTATTTTATTTATTATGATTATTTTTTAAATTTGATCAGAGAGAGACAGAGAGAGGGAACATGAGAAACCAGGCACCAGGTCTGAGACTTGAACTGCGGTTGGCCATGTGAAAGTTCAGTGTCTTAACTACCATGCCACTTGCTGGCCCCATGGAGGGTAATCTTTACTCAAAGTCCGTTAGTTTAAATGTTAATCTCATTTTAAAAATAACTTCACAGGGCTGGCCTTGTGGCTTAGTAGTTAGGGGAGCTAGATCCCATGGCTGATTGTGGTTCATATCTTGAACCTGATGGTTTGAAAAATATGCCTGATGCATCTTTGTGCGTGTCCCACATCCAGATAGGGTGGAGAAAGGGAGGAGGAGGGATTACAGTATGGTCATGCCCTATTGGCAGGTGCTTTCTCACTCTCTCTCTCTCTCTCTCTGTCTCTGATGAGTGCAGGTGCCCTCTGGAAATAAAGAATAAATAAATAAAACAAAGCAAAACAAAGACATTTTTGCAGAAATATCCAGAACAAATTCGTTTGATCAAAATTTGGATGCTGGGTCCTAGCCAAGTTTACCCATAAAACTGATATTACAAGTCCACTCCTTGTCAACCTGACATCCACGCACATCTTAAACATACTAATCTCCAAGTAAGGACGGTAACAAGGTCATATTTCTGCCTCACACGATCCAACGATCCTGCATTCGATTGTATCCTGCTGTCCTAGCCGTTTCTCCAGAAAGGGATGCCAAGTCCTCAGGCAATGTTTACTCTTCTCTTTGCTATCCTGTAACTTCGATACCAGGATGTCAAGTTGACAATACTGAAGTGCTGTAAGATGAAGTCAACACATCTTTTTTTCAAAATTTTTTACATTGTTTTGCCATAGGGTGGAGTGGTCACCAGAGAGAGACAGAGAGACCATTGAGATTAGAAAAGTGAGAAATCACCCCAGGGGGGATGGTCACACCACCACACCTCTCTTCCCTTCTTCTCTTGGGGTTATGGACATGCACACACATGCACACTCACCCAGCCTGTTTTTCAGGTCTACAGATCCAGGGCTCAAACTGCAGTTGGCCACGTGGGATCTAGCACCTTAACTAACACGCCATCTGCTGGCCTCTAAAGTCCATGCATCTTATGTTACATGATCAAGGAATCAGAGAGGGAAGAAATACACATTTGCAATACATATGTGTGCACACACATACATATTCAGAGCAAAATGAAGAAGAAATGCGTGTGACAATTACAGCCCTTTGTTTCTGTAACTGGCCACATGGTGAGGCTGGTGTTTACAGCTACCTTCTTCCGCCATTCTGTGTTACTTTCACTCTCAGCAAGCATCCTGGATGGTCAAGGTTCTTCGCCTGGAGTGGGGGTGGAGGGTTGACCCAAACCTTCATTCCCAAAGGGTCAGGGCCGTTGGCAGTCCTGCCTGGACTGGATTGATATTATTTTTCATTGACTTTAATCACAGGGTACGACAATACCAAGAGGCACCCCAGGGATCGTCCATAATTCAGACCTCACCTTCCCCACCTCCACCATGACATTTGAGGATTATGTTTGGGTTCCACCTTCTTGCAAGAGACCTCTCCAAAGCCACTCGGCCATCTTGAAATTTTTCTCAGGTCCTGATTCTTGGTCGCGCTCAGAGCCCTCTCTAGTATTCTTCATCCTGTTCAGGCCAGTCCTGTACTAATTTATGCCCACACATACCTGGCAGGGAGAGGGCAGGATAAAGTCAGTGGACCTACCCTTTGGCATAATTATTTTTAATGTACGCCCAAGCACCAGCAGCCACTCTTGACCCTGTGCTTTTCAGAAGGCCAAACTCACAGACATTTTAAGCTTAAAACAAACAGTTACAGAGCTGAACTTTGCCTGTTCAATGACAAACACACACGCCCAGAAACTTTAGTATCGTCTTTTGCCTTCAGGCGGCTTTACTTATCACACGTAGGTGAGAATTTCCCTTCCTAGCCTAAAGGTAAGCTTTGAAAGAACATACAGAAAGCCTGGAAGAGGTTTCTATTAAACCTGGTTAACAGAATTTAAAGGAACCGAGGTATCTGGCTGACCACTTGCTGACGGTGCTGAGGAAGCCGTCCACACCGGCCCAGCTAAGGTGAGCACTGTCAGTAGAAAGAAATGCTTGAGCCTTGGCTAGGGCCTCAACTCGGCTTGGGTGTGAAGGGAGGGAGGAGGTGGGGAAACACGTCTTTGGAAAGAGATGCTGGCAACTCGAACTGGACAGGCAGCGGCTTTTAATCCTTTTTTGAAATGGCAGGCTCTGTCCTTGGTAGCAATAAGCAGAAATAAAAATTGGGGAAAAATTGCGAAAACAATGAACTGAAATACATGTATGGTTTTATATCTTGTTTTTAAGAACAGCTTATTGTAATGCAGTAAGTATTCCTTGAAAAAATAGATTCTGAAGTTCAAAAAATTGTTTCAGATTTAGGTGTTGAGTGTCTTGTCACATATTTTTGTCTTTCAATGTTTTGGGGTTTTTTTCTTTTGTTTTTTTGAGAAGTTTTTGCTATAGGGCTCATGTGCTCTCCAGAAAGACAGAGACAGAAATCGAGAAATCACCCCCTGGGGGGATGGCCATGCTGCAAACCCTTCTCCTCCATTCTCCTCTTGGGATCTTAGGCACACACACACACACACACACACACACATACACGCACACATGTGCGTGCCTGGCATGAGTTTAAGCCACTAGGTCCGGGACTCAACTGCAGTCAATTACATGGGAGTCCAGTGACATAGCCGTTACGCCAAATGTTGGTACTGTCTTTCAGTGTTTCTACAGTCAGTTTGAACCTGTAATTTTTCCTGATTGAGGGCATCAGAAATTGAGATTTAACCGATACTCATTGACAGAAATTTCCGTGTAACGAAGCAATTCCAGTTCTGCTCATCTACACAGAAACAATGCCCAGCTGGTTATAAGAAATGGTGTACTTCAAATACCTTATAAATTGGAAATTAAAAAAATTATTTTATTTAACTTTATTTATTTTAATTTGACCAGAGACAGAGAGAGGGAAAGTGAGAAGGCAAGCCACCAGGCAGGTCCAGGACTCAAACCATGGTTGGCCATGTGGGAGTCCAGTGCCCCTAGCCACCATGTCATCTGCTAGCCCCTAAACTGGGAATTTTTAAAAAATCCCTTTCTTCAAAGAAAATCTTAGGACCGTGGTGGCATATGCAAAGCAGGTTTTTGCAGCAGGACAGACTTGGATCTCTCACTGCCACTTCCTACATGTGTCGCCGTGGGCGATTTATTTGACCTCTCTAGGCCTCACTTCCTCAGCTCCTAATGGGGAGATCTTAGGTTTCTTTTGGTACTGTTGCAAGATTAAATAAAGTAATGAGGGCCAGATGTCGGCCCAGCAGTAAAGCATGACACTCTGAGGGGCAGTCCCCCAGGGGAAAGTCCCCAGATCAGGTCCGGTAACCTCCCTGAGTATGTTTGGGACCTGCGAGTCCATGACCCAGGGCTGACTGGGGCTGGGGGTGGATCGTGGCATCAAGGTCCTGTGGGAGGTGCTGTCTCTCTCTCTCTGTCCTTTTAGCTCATGGAAGAAGTAAACTTTTAAAAACGTGAAATAGTGCACGGAAGGGCATTTCCAGTGTTGGTACAATAGTGATCAGACATTAACTGCCATGTTGTCTTACTGTAAACAAGAACCCCTCAGTTTATCATTGCATTCCGAGAACATAGCACCATGCCTAGGTTCTAATAAAGGCTTGATCAATATAAACAGAATGAAGGACTAGCAGACAGTATAGTGGCAATGTTACTGGACTCCCACACAGACAACTGCAGTTTGAGTCCTGGACCCGGCAGCATAAAACTCATGCCAGGTGCGTGTGTGTGCATGCCCAAAATCCCGAGAGGAGAATGGAGGAGTAGGGATTGCAGTGCAGCCATCCTCCCTGGGGGGTGATTTCTCACTTTCTGTCTCTCTGGCGAGCACACACATCCTATAGCAAGAATCTCTCAACAACAACAAAAACTATATATATATATATATACACACACATATATACACACACACACACACACCACACACACACACACACACACACACACACACACACCACACATACACACACACACACACACAAAATGAGCAAAGGAAGGAATTTTATGGATTGCTCTAGTTTAGGGAGGGATAGCCATAGGGAGGACACGGTTACTTTTTAATCTCCTCATATTCTTCCTCTTTCAAAAATCCCAATGATCTTAAAAGAACTTTGCTTAAATTTCCAGACTGCCCACCCCCCGCTCCACAAACACTGTGGCCGAACTGGGCAATCATTTCAATGAGCCGCATTCCAGTCCAGAGACAGGAGGGCATTGGACCATGCGTGCCGATACTGCCTCTGCCTTGCCCTCCCCCTCAGGAAAAGGTGGCCCCTCCCGTTCTCATTCCTGTGCAGGATTCAGCAGTGTGGTCACGTGGAGACCGACTCTCAGAGGCTCTTTTCACATCCCGATTCTGAGCGCCACGGCTTTGTTTTGGAAGCAGCACAGAATAACGCACTGTGCTTCTTCCCTCCACTGTCAGTGACAGAAAACACGACTGGACACTTCTGAAATTCTGCAGAGTGTGAGTAGGATTTCTAGCAAAACATTTTCTTGGAAAAAATATTCATTTGCATCAAAACCTATGACATTTGAAGAGTGTGTTTTTTACATTTTTTCTTATTGTCAGACAGTGGGTATCCTTGCTGAAAATAGAGAAGGCACCTCCTAAAAGCGTGTGGTCAAGCTATAATCCTCTTTCCTCCTCTTCAGCAGTTCAGGATTCTGGGCATGTGTAGACACTTCGGATGCTTTTCAAGCTGCCATGGCTACAATTTGAACAACGATCGGTCATGTGGGATCTGGCTCTCTCAACCACTGAGCTACAGGATCAGCACAGCGTTTCTGTTTTCTACCTTCTAGCAGAACTCAGCACAGATTGCTGCACACTTGGGCTCCTTGAAGACTTACAGGAGGCCAGCTAAGGGCAGGATGAACTCTGCAGAATCTAGCAGCCAGCGTGTAACACTGAGGACAGTCAGGCCAGGGGCATTCAGACAGAACAGGGCCAGATCTAGCAAGGGAGAGGCTGGGAAGGTGAGGGATGGTTGGCTGGAGCTGGTGCTGGAGAAGGGCACACGCAAGGAGGCAATTGAAAATCAATCTGGAGGGGGGACCAGCAGTTAGCGTAATGGCTATGTTGCTGGACTCCCACGTAGTCGACCGCGGTTCGCGTCCCAGACCCGGTGACTTAAACTCACGCCGGGCGCGTGTGCGTGCGTACCCAAGATCCTGAGAGGAGAATGGAGGAGAAGAGATTGCAGCGTGGCCACCCCCCCGGGGGGGTGATTTCTCGCTTTCTGTCTCTCTGTCTCTCTCTGTCTGTCTGGTGAGCGCGCATGCCCTACAGCAAAAACCTCTCAAAAAAAAGAAAAAGAAATCAATCTGTAGGGGGACCAGTAGTTAGTGTAATAGCTATTTCGCTGGACTCCCACGTAGTCGACCGCGGTTCGCGTCCCAGACCCGGTGACTTAAACTCACGCCGGGCGCGTGTGCGTGCGTACCCAAGATCCTGAGAGGAGAATGGAGGAGAAGAGATTGCAGCGTGGCCACCCCCCCGGGGGGGTGATTTCTCGCTTTCTGTCTCTCTGTCTCTCTCTGTCTGGCTGGCGAGCGCACACGCCCTATAGCAAAAAAGTTCTCCAAAAAAGAAATCAGTCAGGAGGCAGGAGCAAAGATGGTGGCTTCTCTGGGCAGGGGATACTTAGGGGTGTTTCATTCCTACCGAGCAGCTTTCATCTACAAAGCCTGGCCTGAACTGCAGCCGTAACTGACTACACTTGCTCGCTGCTCTTTTAGGAGACTTACAGGCCTTCCAATGATCCATTTAGCTTACGTCCAGGTCTCATTTCCCTCCTTGAAGGCAGGGACTACGGGCTGGCTCCCTCTTAAACCTAGCTGGGTGATTTGCAACAGAACCTCCTTGGTGCCAGATGAAGCGTGCTGGGTGCGGAAGAGGCCTTGTATCTGGGCAGAGATGGACTGCTTTTCCACCCAGGGGGAGAAAGGAGGCGGGGTCTGGCACCGTTTGTGTTGGGGATGACCTCGGTCCCACAGTCTCTGCTTTGACTTTTCAGCCTCCCAGCTGAGCATGTCTTCGGTTTAGGTCAGCAGCCAGACCCTTAGAAGGAGGGGAAAGTTAGAGTGGGGCCAAGAATGGCTTCATCAAACTCTCACCTAGTCCCAGCCCTTCAGCTGCCTTCTCCGGGAAGTCTGAGAGTTTATTAGTGATACCCTAGAGGATAAAGCAACTGGCAAATAAAGGAGCAAAAGCTCAAACCAAACTAACCCATTCCTTGTTAGCAAGGTTGGGAATGGTCTGACGAGAATGAGGCCTGCATGGTGGCCTGAAATGCCTCTTTTGGGTCAGGCATTGGCTTCATCTGGGCCCCCCCCCCCCACACACACACAAAAGAAGAGCCTGAGCAAGGACTTGAGCACAGAGAGTTTATTTATTCTGGGGATAAATCTGTTTTGTCTGGTTAAAATAAGGAATGAGCAAAGCATGATTTCACAAACCACACAGTTTATTGCTATACAAAGAAATTCTTCTTATTTACAATGCTTAAAAAGGCAATATAGGGACCAGCAGTTAGCGTAATGGCTGTGTCGCTGGACTCCCATGTAGTCAACTACGGTTCGAGTCCAGAACCCGGTGGTTTAAACTCACGCCAGGCGCGTGTGTGTGCGTGCCCAAGATCCTGAGAGGAGAATGGAGGAGGAGAAGGGATTGCGGCGTGGCCAGCCCCCCTGGGGGGTGATTTCTTACTTCCTGTCTCTCTGTCTCTCTCTTTCTGGCGAGCGCACATGCCCTATAGCAAAAACCTCTCAAAAAAAAAAAAAAAAAAATCAAGGCAATATAATCGGGGCCAGCAGGTGGTGTGGTGGTTAAGGCGCTGGATTGCACGGCTGACTTCAAGGTTCAAGTCCCAAACCCAGCAGCTTGAAACTCAAGCTGGGCATGTGTGTGTGTGCATGCCCTAAATCCCGAGAGGAGAATGGAGGAGAAGCAACTGTGGCATAGCCAT